CAGTGATGTCAAACCAACCAAATACGGTTATCAATTGTTTCTTATCAATTTACAAAAAGAACGTAGTTATATAGTCTGGTCTCCTAGTAAAATGAACGAAGAACTTAATAAAAATGTTGAATATCGCTTTATCGATAAAAATAATGAAGAATATTTTTATTACCATTTAGGCTCATCTAAAGCATTGATTGGCCCCAGGTATTGGTGAGCTAGAGCCAATTTAACTTAATCTCATGACTATCGTTAAATCGCATAATCACTTTGGCATAAAAAATCCCCCCTGTAGTAGCAGTATAGGTATATAAATCTGGCTCCAGTGGAAGTGGTCCAGAACCCCCATTACCTATAAAAATTTATATCATTGGCTCCAGGTGGTGGTGAGCTAGAGTCAATTTAGCTGAATCTCATGACTATCGTTGAATCACATAATCATTTTGGCATAAAAAATTCCCTCTGTAGTGGTGGTATAGGTATATAAATTCTGCTCCAGTGGAAGTGGTCCAGAAACCCCATTACCTATACTACTGCCGCCTCGACAGAATACAATACATAGCCCTAATGCTGGCCACAGGCACTTCACTAGAAGCACTCATCCGAAGTCACAATTGTGATGACATTCATCCTCAAGAAAGTCAGTGCAAAGGGTTACACCCTCCATGGACTTTTAAAACTCCCAAAGTTGACACTTTAACATCAGAAGCCACTAAAAAAGAAAACCCAACCCTACTACGATCAGTAGCTATCACTAAAATTCAAACTACCTGGGACAGCTGGGCCCATATATACACTGATGGATCCAAGAATTCTAGCAATAACAGTGCTGGTTATGGGATCCATATCCACAGCTCCAAACCCCATGCACATTCAGTTCGTCTGCCTGATGGTCACTCAGTATTCACTGCTGAATTGGAGGCAATTCATCATGCACATCATGCACTCGTTAAGTGCACTTCAAGACAGAAACTGAAACTCCAGGCCAAACACAGTCAACACTTTTCTATATGAATACACAAAACTATCAGACCAGGGCAACAGGTGGAGCTGTGTTGGATCCCCTCTCACATAGATATTCTTTGAAATGAAAAAGCACACTCACTGGCGAAGCTAGCTCTAGACAAAGCGGAGATACAGCCTATACCCTTTAGTAAACAAGCAGATAAAAAGCAAAATCAAAGCCTTGATAGCCCAAAGATGGCAAGCCCAGTGGGACTCAAGTAAAATCGGCAGATGGCTATACAAAATTCAACCCAAGATCCAATAAAAGCCAAACTCATACTCAAAAGAAAGGAAAATTTAAATTGCCATCTCATGCGTCAGACTTGGTCACAAAAAGCACTATCATAAGGTTTGTTCATCTTGCAATCAGGCTAAATCCATTGCTCACGTGTTATTTGAATGTCGAGACCACGCCCCAGCCCAGGCTTGGTTAAAACAAGAATTGCAGTTAGATCCGCTATCTGTCATAGATCTCCTAAAGCCAAGAGATGCAGTAGCAAAGGCCAAACTATTTCTGAGAGATGGACAGCTACTCGAACGTATATAAGAAAGGCAGCCAAGGATAAAAATGAAATTATATCAATTTACGAAAATAGAAATCATATCAATACAAAAACAGAAATTATGTGAATACCAAACACACAATAGATATGTGTACTCTACTCACACACAGGAGTCCCAAAGATGGACAGGTCAGCTGAAATTGCTTAGGCAGAAGCCGACCTCTTAAACACTTAATGCAACATCATCATTGATCATGGCATTCATTCACCTAATGCAGGAGTAAGCGTATACCCCGAAATAATAAAGAAGTTGACATCCATATATTCTCTTACTTATGTGTATCACTTCTAAATGCCCTTCAAAGACCTAATTATCAATATATCTTCCATATTTCAGATGAGGTTCCATCTTTTGATGAAAAAAGCATGTTCTATTGTGAAAAAGCCATATTATGTTTCTTAAAACATATTCACAATGACTAAAAAAAATTACTTTTTGATAAATCTACAAAAATTCAAGATGGCCAACAAGTTTCCTTAATATGAGGAATATGCAAATTAGACATATTTTCCAAACTAGGATTGCTTGGGACTTTTAGTATGTTGTTCTTGGGACCTTGTAGAAATGCATTGTGGTGAAATAAATTCTGTTGCAATTTGTTCCAAGTTGAGTAAAAAACTGGCTTTGATTGTCTGGACTATGATGCCACTGACAGACATGGCAGACAGACGAGGAACAGCAAACCCAGGGCAACGAATGCCTTTGGGGATATGGTAAGTCAACAGAAAGTGGCCAGACGCTTCAGGGCTCATGGGAATTATGGCTTACAGGCCTAACAGAGGACAGTTATTGACAGTGCAACATTGTCGTCAGAGATTGAGATGGGTCCGGACTGTACATTGTTGGCAGCGATTAGAATGACAGAGGGTCATCTTCATTGATGAAAGTCGGTTCTGTCTCTTTAGTATGGTGGCCGAGAGGGGATATCGCTTTCTCGCTCTATCGCTTTCTCGCGGTATAGCAATATTACCGCTTGGCTACTATATGGGTCGCATGTGTTATGTGTTTCTGTACGATAAAAAGTATATACCTAAAACAACATTAATGAATTGTTAAACCTGACTTTGGTGGGCAGATGCTGAGGTGGGTATTAATCATAAAAGAGAGCTGAGATTTTTCCAGTCACATTTCAAACTATACATATGGATGGAACGTTGAATCTCGCTTTAACGCTTTCTCGCTCTATCGCTTTTTCTAATGACTAACCATAGTCATATGAAAGAATCGGGTGTCATTTTGGTTTTGTAAATCATTCATTACCATGCAATCATTAGTTGTATTCAAACTGCATACACATACATGTTTGTTAGTAGGAACTTGCATGAGAATGAAGTCATGACTGACCGTATGCCAAAAAGGTGGTGCAGGTAGAGGTGTGCGACAGATGCATCCAACACGGATAACACCCGAAAGAAAGAAAAACATATATTTTCTCAGGTAAAGAATCCTTTCATTTGAATCTGACTTATTGAGTGTCTATTTTTTAGTCATAACAAGAACTTATTTAAATCAATTATTAACCAAATAATCACAGAACCCATAATATAATCATTGATACAAAGTTTAGATGGTATAGATTAGGACAAAGCAAACAGTATTGCCCATCCTGATAAGTTTTATATGAGACTCCCTACATTATTTTCTAAGTTTTGTTTTTAACTGTTGACACAACTTTGGTATGAAACATACTGATGTTGCACCATTTGCCTAAATTTAGAATATTTGAAAAAAAGAATATATATATTATTGTGCAGAAACCATGCCATAATGGGGGTTGGACTAGAGATGAGGAGAAATCTTTGACACAGTTTGTGGAGAGCAGGGGGGTGGAAAACATCAAATAGAAAGTGGAAGGACTGCCGATCAAATGAATACTGCCTTTCAACTTAACTGCACAGGTAAATGCATTATTATCTTAAATCATAAGTATGCTCAAGTTTCGTAAAGAGGAATAAAATAGACACCAGTATTGTTAAGTTTTATCCATTTGCAAAGTAAGTATGTACTTGACTAAATGATCAGTATACACCCAGTTTAGAATTGATCTCAAGCACTCTATTGCACGATGTAAGATGCAGTCGGGTGGTCAGATTCCATGGTGTGGTTTTCTGCTAATTTTTCCAGGTGCTGAGAAAAATAATTTTGTCTGTCTTTGACTTGATTATTTAGTAGCTACTATGACATAGCTGGACATTTGATGACCTTTTGTTGGCTTTTGGTGCATGTTATCCTTGCTATATGAATAGTTTATGTACGAGAAACAGTATACCAGTGATAACAATGATATCCTGGACTCTAGTATTTTCGAAATACTGATCATGGTGATATAGCCGGAAATTTCTATCAATCAGTCAATTGCTGACTGACAATAAAAAACAAATATATCATACTTGACTTATCTCTCTGATAATTGTCTAACATGATCAGCATATTTTTTATGTATTTTTAACATATTAAAATTTTATGATGTCCTCTATGAACTGTGATAACTATCTTTAATCACTTTTTCCACAGCTTCATCATGCATGAATGAATCCATCATTTCAATGATCAGAGAAATGGGTGTACAGACTGAAGTAGCTTTTGGGCCTACGATTGAAGTGACCTGGGCATGTTGCAGTCAGGCACTTTATACCACTCATTCACATTCATTAATTAGATCTATGTTATTAAATGGTTCAGTCAGTGAACAAGCCTCACCTGCTATATGCCCACAGACCTGCCATGTCTCTGACCTACCGTCAACTGATGCCACTTCTCTGTTGGTGCCCGAACACAACTACTCGCAACCACTTACATTCAGGGAACCAGCCTCACCAGTTGACTGTTGTTCAGTTATGCTTGAGCATAACTACTCAAATCAAAAGAGAACCCAAATCTTATCAAAGAAAAATATCAAAAAGAAAAAAAATAACAAGTCAAGTGGCAGAATTTCTTACCCACCAGAAATGTTCCTGCAAGAGTATCTTTGACTCATCTGGTCAAACTCAAGCTTCTCCTTAACACAAGGAACCCAAGAATTATTGCATGATATTTCATGAACACACCATCGCTGAAAGATGCTTGCATCGATCTGCTTGCTGATTCTGTGCAGGGCACAACTCTTTTGATGACTGGTAGGAAATACAATGCATCAGTACTGATGAAGAAAGATTTTGAAAATCTTAAGTCATTTGTCTTTGAAGACATTGTTGATGAATTTAGATTACAATTTCCTGAACATTTTCTTGTAGTTCAACGTGTCATGCTTCCGAAGTCTAAGCAAGACTCAGCAGAGAACCAACAAGATATACGACCTTGTCTTGCTACAATCTATTCAGTCATGCTGTTTACAAGAAATCCTGAACTATCAAGGTTTCAAAGGGACATGGCTTCATGTCTGCTTGACAACATATGTGATCAAAAAGTGTATGACCAGATGAACAAGCTAGGTGTAACAGTTTCCTATTGTCGAGCCTTGAGGTTTTCAAGCAGGTTGGTGGCCATTTCAATGATGTCCTCATTGATGTTGTTCATTCTGGAAAGAGAATTTGATTAGTTGGCGACAATGTTAACTTCAGTGTGGATGTCAATCAGGAAAGATATTGGAAGCACAAACACATGGTACATATGTTTGCCTCAGCAGCTTTTATATCTGAACATTACTTTATGTCTAAACCAGAAATTCCAGAAATATCCCTTGCTCATCTCGCAATCAACAATGTCTTACTATCTCAGGCAGAGTATTGTTTGCTTAGACACGGTGTAGTAAGCATTGTGGCACATACACTAAGCAAATATCTACCTCATCTAGGATTTGTGAAAGATTCTGTGCCTGTAACCTTAGCCCCGAGAATCAACTTTTCTGTGACAAAAGTTATCCCATTGACAGTACTGCCATATAATGAGCAATATTACAAGGACACTATTAAAATCTTGGATTCATATGAAAATATCATTACTGATATTAATCAAGTGGCATGTCATCAAAAACAGTTCCAAATTGGAGGAGATCAGCTAACACAAGAGTGCTTCTCAGGAGCAATGAAACTTCGACTTAGAAATCAAGATGCAAGAAAGAGATTTGAGCATTTGAGTCCTACTACTTTTGAATTGTTCCATCTTGGGATGAACTTTCTAGAAAAATCTATCATTTGTGTCTTGTGGAATGAAGATGGTATTGCTGGGTTTGGAACTATAAAATGTGAAGTTGAAAGAACTTTCAGGAATTCTTTTGACACCAATGTTATGAAGGCTTATGATTCAGATCATGACTTCATTCTGTCATATACCAGAGCCTTAATTGTTGAGGCAGGAAAGCAGTTCTTTGGCATGAATGATCACAATAGTTATCCTACCATCAATATCCCTCCCAGATTTAACAACCCACAGGAACATAGAGACTGGGTATATGTAACCCTTGGAAAACTGATTGACAAATTCATATTTCCATGTTGGACTGGCAATGATGAAGAACCCAATACTCAGTATTGGATCAGAATTTGTTGACATTGAACTTGGTAATGAATCAGTGCTTTATCTACCTGTTGGTTTATACACAGAAACCCTGAAACATGAGCCTGATAAGGAAAATGACTATGCTCATTATGCAATTGAGACAGGAACTATTTTTTACTTGTTTCTTTATATCTTGTTTCTTCGGCAGATTAAGACCCCAGGACGTGATCAACTACTGGCTGTATTCAAAATGATGGTGATGATGATGATGATGATGAGGAATCCGGTTGCCAAGTATCCTTTTGAAATCCTAAAAATGCTCATACAGCAGTATTCCCTTCTGCCACCGACAGAAGCATGTCAGGTCCTACAATAATGTCTTGTAAACACAAGAGGTCAGGCAGACTTACGCACCCCAGCAGACTTACAGATGGAGTGGCTTGTGAGAGAAGAAAAGAAGCATATAAAGCATATGTACTCAAACAAGACAGAAAGTAACATTATGTCCCGTTCATCCGCTCTGTCAGGAATTCATGACATTGCAGAACAGTTTGATAGAACTGCATGCACACTTGTGGGATCAAATACACAGAAAAGAACAAGTGCAGATGAAGATGAACTCTACATCATTGATGATCTTCACAAAGTTATGCCTTTTGACCATCAAGAGGGTCGAGCCTACATAAAATTTCCTGATATCCCAAAGTCACAGGTGAAAAACTCCAGGACTTGTTCAAAAATAAAATAAATGTAGTAACACTGTGACATGTCATTCATCATACATGAACTATGCACCATTGTGTTTGCTTCCTTTTCTCACTGCATTAGACAGCTGTCAATTCTCCCTTTGTTGGGAGATTAAACGCAAAATAAGCTATGATGATTGCAAACATGTACAATGTTTCAATATGATGTAATTCCATGTCTTATGAAATGACTTCTGATTACATTCATAACAATGTTGTACATAGACCTAAAATGTATCTGCATTGATGATTGATGCTTGATATCATTGTCACAAATCAAAAGTAGAACTAAGGATATTACAGCACACATTACAAACGAAAAAGAAAAATACTTTAGGTTGATTACATTTATTACAATCAACAATATTCACATCCGGTTAAGTCAGCATAGTTCACAAAATCAGGTGTCCCATTCAAAGGTCGGTGATGGATGTACCAATTTAGGGATCGCAAGTAGGAGCAATCACACTAAGGCCTGAAAACATGAAAAATGCCTAACTACTAGGTGACAACTATCATGTATTTTCAATACCAGAAGTTAAGAACATTGAAAATAACATATATAACAAGCTATATTTCCATGATGGGCAATCCTTTTGGCAAAGAAAACTTTATTTATAATTAAACACGAAGTAACTATTCCACACATTTATCCTTGAAATAACACAATATTATACTCACAAAAGCCTTTCTCCTGGCCAGGTCTCACGACAGTGAAAGATCAACTGTGTCTTAACACTGCTAAGACATGGCTTTATATAATCAAGTCAGAGACAAAACGCATGCTTTTCACATGTCAAAATGGTGTGTTTGGGTGCCCTGTTCCAGTATTAAGGATGACATCTACCCCTACCAAAATACATCCCAAAAGTAATGATAAAAGAGCACACGATGTGACAATCATACCCTGTTTAGAATCATCTGATATTTCAGTACTTTTTGTAATAAGAAACCACAACAAAAAGTACAGAGAAGTATACAAAGTGTTTCCAAAAACACATCATCTGACCAATATAAGATTAAAACTAATATACAGATGTTGAATGGTAGTAATGTTCTAAGGCTAATCTAAAAGTAATCACATTCTCCATAACAAATTGTAACATTAGCATGTTTATTTATCTTATTACCACCTAGCAGTAATATTAACAGTATCATGAATATTTCTTGACAAAATCAGACTTGTCAAACTCAAGCAGAAATACTGTGTCATGGCACTGTAGCTCAATATGAAGTCAAAAGTTTTAAAAAAAACAAAGGCGGTCATTAAAAATTGAATTGGAATTATGTGACCATGTTTTAGAGACTTGTTATAGTGCAAACCATTTCAATACTTTTACTTAAATAGTGCAAACCATTTCAATACTTTTATTTAACATTTCATTTATCTAAATACCTAACTGTTTCAATATGTTTCCAAGTGCACCGAAATTCTATGCCCTTTGTCTGTTTAATATATTCAGCAAACATTCGGCGTTCCCCTCTTATCATAAGCCCCTCCGGGCAGGACCCTTAATCTCCAGCGCTATCTATAAATTTTAATCAACACCTCCTAACGTCGCCGGATCTTACGTATATACATACACGTGGGACAATGACCTTGCCACACGTTATGTAATACCTCGCTCTACAAAACCCGACTGACATGGTCAGTCAGGGGGACAGCCTAGAGAACAGCCAGAAGGTAAGTGACAGAACGGTTCTCCCACCCGGGAACATTGGCCACTAGGTCCCGGTGTGCGTTCTGTCACGTTATTATCAACATGTACCTTTTCGACTCATTTCAACCATCAACAATAAATATGGCTGCTGTCGTCTAAACTTCACCCCTGAGTTTTGTCCTCCGTCATCATCGGATGGTAGCTCAGGGTGATGACGGAGGACAAAACTCAGGGGTGAAGTTTAGACGACAGCAGCCATATTTATTGTTGATGGTTGAAATGAGTCGAAAAGGTACATGTTGATAATAACGTGACAGAACGCACACCGGGACCTAGTGCATGGCTAATGTTCCCGGGTGGGAGAACCGTTCTGTCACTTACCTTCTGGCTGTTCTCTAGGCTGTCCCCCTGACTGACCGGTTTTTATTTTATTCTCCACAACAGATAGGGTTCGGTCTTGACTGCCGTCGAGTTCGGACGTCTTTTGCTTCTCAGCAACTTGTCTAGTGTTATACAGCGCACTTGACTGTTTATGATCCTTTCTCTTTTGTTCTTTGGCTTTTGATTTCTCTTGTGTTGGAGTGCATTCAAACTTTTAATTTCTATTTGGTGTTTGCTGATTGTTACAGTCAGTTGTTGGGGATTGTCCTCGACAATGGCTGACAACAGAATGGAATGTGAGGAAGGATTTAAAGTCGTTGCTTCAGGGAGGAAGCGAATCGGCCGTATTCCAGATGGTACTTCTAAAAAAGCCTGTGTTGCCAAGCAACCAAATACTGTTCCTCCTACTCCAAGGTCTGATCTTACTTTTGTCTTTGATGAGCCACCTCGGGTCAAATCAACCACTGTTATCTTCAAAGCCGATGTAGATGAATATGATGATGGTTCACCGACCCTCTGTCAACTTATGACACAGCGTGCTTTGGCTAGAGCCTTGGCTAAGATCACTACAGAAATAGTCAGTGTTAAGCGGATGGCCAGGGGAGATGTTAGTGTCACTGCAAAAACCGTTGAGGCTGCCAAAACACTTTTGCAAGTCACAGAACTTGATGAACATTTTGTCACCCCTCATGAGCCTGAATCCTTAATGAGAACACGTGGAGTCATCTATGGTATTGATCTGGATATTGAGATGAATGAAACTGAGGACGAGTTGAAACCTGTGTTACCTCTAATGTGCTCTGCTGTGCGTCTGACTCGTGGGCCTGATAAAGTTCCCACCAAATCTGTTCTTCTTACATTTACTGGCCAGTCTTTACCGGATCATGTTGTCATTTTCTTCCAGAGATTTCCAATCCGGATATATGTTCCTCCTGCTCTTCGATGCTTCAAGTGTCAGTCCTTTGGGCATGTCTCTGCTAAGTGTAGAAGCACTCATCATGTGTGCGCTAAATGTGGAGGGAAGCACAAATACGAGGAGTGCAATGAAAGTTCCCTTAAATGTAAGAACTGTGGTGGTGCACACTCTGCGGCATATAAAGGTTGTATTAAATACCAGGAAGCTGTCCAGATTCAGAAAGTCCGAGTGGAGGGTAAGTTGTCTTATTCTCAGGCTGTTCGACAGGTGCGTGGAGATTTTGATGTCGCTCAGGTTCCAGCAGTCCCTAAGCCACCTCCTGCAGCTAAACCACTGTCTCAGGTTGTTACAATTTCTGATGTTGTGTCTTCTCCTGTCATGGTGACTGCTAGTACTCAGACTGAGACTCTTGAAGTTGAATGTCAGACTGATCCTGTTGTTGACATCATGCCTGAATCATCTTGCAAACCTCTATTTAACAATGTCTCTCCTGTTGACTTTCTCAACTTTGTTATTTGTATAGTTGCTAATCTTGGCACTACTCGTGCATTCAAGTCTGATGGTCTTCAGACGATAGCGTCAGCTGCCCAGTCCCTCTTGGGGTTAAGATTGTCCCCTGATGATCTGACGAGCATGGTTAAGAGCCACAATGGAAGTCTTAATCCATCCTTCTTATGGATCTCTTGATGCTAGATCACTCAGTGCTAAAGGTCCAGGATTTAAAGTTTGTATTAAGTTTTGACCCAGATGTTTTGTCTTCAGGAGACATTCTTGACTCCTAACCAGCGATTATGTTGGGAAGGTTATGTCTGCCTACGTAAAGATCGTCAGTTTGGTTTTACAGGTGGTAGTGCTAAACTCACTCACTCACTGTCGTTTAGTGAAATAAGGTTCAACCATCCCATTTACAAGGGAATGAAGTCATTCTTCATTTGAAGGATAAAAAAATCAGTCTCCATTTTTAATGTCTCTAATAACGCTATTGCTATCTCTGATGACCATGGGTCTCTGTTGAATATGTCAGCCAATCTTAAAGTAGTGTGTGGTGCTTTTAAAGCGTGTGGCAGTTTCACTAGTCTATGAACTATCTAGGTACTTAGCAAACCTTTATTATGGGCAAGGTGTACATGGGCCTAGTTGCCCGAACACCTATAAAACTTTCTAACAATCAATCAATCAACCTGACTGACCATGTCAGTCGGGTTTTGTAGAGCGAGGTATTACATAACGTGTGGCAAGGTCATTGTCCCACGTGTATGTATATACGTAAGATCCGGCGACGTTAGGAGGTGTTGATTAAAATTTATAGATAGCGCTGGAGATTAAGGGTCCTGCCCGGAGGGGCTTATGATAAGAGGGGAACGCCGAATGTTTGCTGAATATATTAAACAGACAAAGGGCATAGAATTTCGGTGCACTTGGAAACATATTGAAACAGTTAGGTATTTAGATAAATGAAATGTTAAATAAAAGTATTGAAATGGTTTGCACTATTTAAGTAAAAGTATTGAAATGGTTTGCACTATAACAGACTCAATAGCTTTGATTATTGTTGCAAAGTTTCAGTGTCAAAGGCCTTGCAGTATTGAAGGAGATTACAAAAAAACTGCTTTAATACAGAAAAAACAGGGTATTTCTACCTTTGTGACTGGTCGAAGCTAGACAGATAATCATAACATGCCAAAAATGTACATTGTAGTATGTTTTATTCCACATAACAAATACTTGTTGCATGTCAAATGGTTGTGTAATGAACAGATATGATACATATATATGTCTGCAGTGTTATTAATAATATTGGAATCCTGTGACGAAATTATAGATACACAGTAGATGGGATCATTCATGTAAATTTTCAGCTTCATAGGCCCATAGTTTCAGAGGATATCTAAGAAATGTAGTAACAGATAAGACGGATGGGTGAACTAAAAATGTTTGAGTAATGGCCATTGATAGCTTTTTAAATATGGCTGGCATTTTGGCCATATTAGAAGCCGGATTAGAACCTCATGGGACAAATTCAGGTGTCTTCATTAGTGAGAAGAAGAACATGATTGGTTTGTTTGTTTATTGTTTAATGCAGCACTCAGCAATATACCAGCTATATGACGGCAGTCTGTAAATAATTGAGTCTGGACCAGACAATACAGTGATTAATATCATGAGCATCGATCCAGCTATTAGGATCGATGACATGCATCAACCAAGTCAGCGAGCCTGACCACCCGATCCCGTTAATCGCTTCTTGCGACAAGCATAGTCGCCTTTTACGAGAGGCACATGAAGTTAAATTTGTGCTGATCAAGTGATTTCTGATGAGCCGACAGAACCCTCAGTGAACTTTGAGAGAATTAGCGTAAGACCATGATCAAAGTACAAAAGTCAAATCAAGGTCAAAATCACAATTATCGCAGGAACAAATGGGAACCAGTCTGTGAAGTACAGAGCAACTTTATTTCCCGATAAAACATTGTTCTATAATGGCGTCATTTCTGGAGATTCGAACATGCGCTCGCAATTTTATGACGTCGTTGTTGTTCCCCATAGTTGTAGTAGGTCAACGCAGATAAACGCATCCCAAACCGGGAGACATATGACAATCGGTATTGGGAGAAATGGTGCGGGAAATCGACGTGAAGATTGTGAGAATATGTGGGAAATAGCCACCTGTACATAAAATGGACTTGTCCGACGTTGCGAGATCGGATCCTTTAGAGGGAGTCATCATTAATTATATAGGGGTTAATATTTTAATGCTTGTACATTTTATCAACATCCTTAAATAGGCTGTACATAATGTTGATATCTCATATAAGCATTAAACGACGTATGACAATAGCGTGAAACGCTCACTGCAAAAATGAGACTCTTAAAAGCAACTTACGAAGATATATAAAACTACTTAAAATGAAAAAGCTAAAACTATATTCCTGAAAACTCTATATACAATACCCTGTTACAATTACATAACATAGTATATGTCTAATATTTCGAAGGCGTTGCCCAGTTCACATGAGGCACTCACTGCGAAGCAAGCTCCCCACAGCGATAGTCCGTTCGCTGAGCTCTCTATACTATGTATTAATATGTTACCGAGAGTGTAACGAAGGTGTCACGCGCTGGGAAGGAGCTTGACTGCGAAGGAGTGACTGGGCTCTTGTCTAGCCCACGGATAAAAGCGCTAAGCTTGCGGCGCGTACCAGCACTAGGAACCAGTTCGAGTAAGTTTGTTTATCTGAATTTTTTGGACTTATTGAGTGTTCAGCGTTATTTGGCCCTAACACTTATAAACCACACTAAAATATAAGCCAGTGGCAATACTTCTTCGTGGTTTTGTTTTTTAGGGAACTACAATCCACTGACTTAATTCCTATTTCGTTTGATATTTAATGTATCGTTCCCGAATTTGGAATATTTTCCTTTCAATGTGGCGGGAGATCTGAGTAGTGCATGGAACGTTGAATTCAAGGTTTGTAACTTTATTTTTACGATATTATCGACGTAAGCAATATGGATTTTTGGTGTATTAACCGCTTTCACAATCGAACTCGGTCTCGCATCCGCTACAGAATATGTTAGCTACTTTGTTTTTTATTCAACAAATTCACAGAATACTTTTCAGTTTCATAATGCATTTTCCAAACCATACTCTCAGTGTGTCCGCAAGGGGTGCAGGCTTAAACGGCACCTCAGCAAAACGTCACCGATTTCTCTGGCGATAACGGCACCGCATTTGGCGAAAACGGCTACTAGGCCTATGTGTCGGGCGAAAACGGCACCTCTATTTTTATTAACGATACCAACGATTTTTATAGTATCATATATGGTTTATTTATATGGTATTTGATGTATTTACATGTTATTGGATGTATGTGATGTATATTTACATGGTATTTCCTGTTTTCACAGATAAGTACATATGTTCATACAGTTCTTCAGTTTTGTCGGCATGTCCATCGTCATCTTCATCGTGTTCACAATATTGGCCCATGTACAATCGAACATTGTGAGAGTGCTTGGGTCAGGGAGAGATCTCCATCCTTGTATCGTCGCCATATGTCAAAGATCTCCTCTTGACAGATGTGGAAGATTTGCGCACATACGCCCTAGTAAATTGGAGTAGGGGGCTAATTTCTTACTTGTTTTATTTCACAATTATTTGTGTTTGTAAGAGACGATGTGAGTTTAATTTCTATTATTTTTCTTCAAAGCATGTTATGTTTTCACAATAAGTTGAGTTGCGTATAAGCTAAGTTGAATTATAGTTGGAGTAGAGGCTAATTTCTAATGTAAACTTGTTTTAACATCCCACAATTATTGGCGTTTGCAAGTTACAATGTAATTTTAATATCATTTATTTGACCAAGGTAAAAAAAACCTATAAGGTGCCGTTTTCGCTTGAGTCAAAGTGCCGTTTTTGCCAATCGGTGCCGTTTTCGCTATTACCCGAGTAGTATAGGTAATGATGGTTCTGGCTCACTTCCACTGGAGCAGGATTCATATACCTATACCACCACTACAGAGGGAATTTTTTATGCGTAAATGATGATGCGATTCAATGATAGTCATGAGATTAAGTTAAATTGACTCCAGCTCACCACCACCTGGAGCCAATGATATAAATTTTTATAGGTAATGATGGTTCTGGCTCACTTCCACTGGAGCCGGATTCATATACCTATACCACCACTACAGAGGGAATTTTTTATGCGTAAATGACGATGCGATTCAATGATAGTCATGAGATTAAGTTAAATTGACTCCAGCTCACCACCACCTGGAGCCAATGATATAAATTTTTATAGGTAATGATGGTTCTGGCTCACTTCCACTGGAGCCGGATTCATATACCTATACCACCACTACAGAGGGAATTTTTTATGCGTAAATGACGATGCGATTCAATGATAGTCATGAGATTAAGTTAAATCGACTCCAGCTCACCACCACCTGGAGCCAATGATATAAATTTTTATAGGTAATGATGGTTCTGGCTCACTTCCACTGGAGCCGGATTCATATACCTATACTGCTCTACAGATGGAATTTTTTATGCCAAAATGATGATGCGATTCAACGATAGTCATAAGATTCAGCTAAATTGACTCTAGCTCACCAATACTTGGGTCCAATCATTGCTTTAGATGAGCCTAAATGGTAATAAAAATATTCTTCATTATTTTTATCGATAAAGCGATATTCAACATTTTTATTAAGTTCTTCGTTCATTTTACTAGGAGACCAGACCGTATTTGGTTTGTTTGACATCACTGATATAATAAAAACCTTGTGGTAATTCTCTCCATTTAATAGTTTTTTCCATTATTATATATTTATGTAAGCATTTGTCTAAATGTGATCAAACGATAGTAAGCAATCTATTTTTAATCTCCAACCAGTTCTTTGGTTTTGGCACGGAATAATTGACGCGCTTGTTGCCTCCCCTGTTCTATGAACTTTTTTTTCTCGTCTTCGCTAATACCACTGGTCTTATGAGATTTTGATCGAATCTCCTGCTTCATTTCATTGTATTTGGTGAGTTCTGACAGCACTAAACGAAACTCATCCTCGGATATCTTACAATCGGCCATTGCTGTTGAAATATGATCCTCAATGCTGTTCAACTTTGCTTTGGCGAGTATCCGAATACTATCAAGTTTTAATGCTTTCTTTTGTAACCTACGAGAAATGAATTTTATCGCTATTCCTGCCAGTCCCGAGACTCCAGCGGTTATTTCCATGCCGAGCACGATAGGTGCGGCGATTATAGTTGATAGTAAACCGATACCCGCTACACCGAGTCCCATGCCAGGATACTACAAGCGCGGTGTCAACTCCGTCCAGAGCATTCACGGCTCTGCGATACTTTTTATACAATCCAAGTCTCAACTCCCTATCCTTCTCTATTCGATGTTTTATGTCGCTTATTTGATGTAATCGAAATCCATCAACAGTATCCATCTTTTCAAATGCTTCATTGAGCGCCGGATATAAACTCATAGTGTATATTACGATCATATAATAGTCTTTAATTGGTCTTGCTTAAATGTTTTGAGAGTATACATCAATCTTATCAAATGTATATTATACGGCAAGAATATCTTAGAAAGAGAAATGCTGTCACTTTTAATAATTTGGACCCCCTCGAGGGTTGCAACGGGCGATGCTCCGATATGAATAATACTGCAACGTCGACGCTCGTGTTTCTTTAGCCATTTAATCGATAGACCTGGTAATATTTCGAAGGCATTTTCCGGTGCATCTCCGAACAAGACTTCAATAATAAGAGTAGAAATATTAGGTATTGCACTCAAGTTATCTTTAATATCTTCGAATTCAGTAACCAAATTTAAAGTAACATTTTTTAAGGCCGGACGACTATATAACATTTGACCTGGGTTTTCTGGCAGGGGGGTAACTAACACACTTTTTCTTTTTGACGGGATATAAGCCGCGAGTACGATGCCACTATTTATTATCTTAGTTAAATTATGTCCCTTACCCATCATCACATAAGGTGGGGTAATGACGATATTCAGTAGCCACTCGATGTTTGCTTCGACCATAGTCCATTTATTCTCGCCGTTGAGAATAATATTGTACGAAGTGTTTTTAATGAGTCTACTAACGTCGACATCGCTTAAATCTTCTAGATTACCCGTGAATGTGACTTCTTTCCGCTTGTATACATTATCGTGTAAGTGTAAAGCGTATAACTTACCATTGTAACCGGGTTTATCAAATCCTTCTGTGTCTCCGAGATCGGAAAGCGCAATTGTATTACATTGTCTGAGCGTTCCAGGGCCTGATGCATCAACCATTATTTATAATATGGAGTGTTACACTTAAGTATCCTATATGTACAGGTTGATGTTTTACATCTAATACAGAAATTTTGAGGTCTGAAATAATACCATGCTTCAATTTTTTATATTGTAATGACGAGAAAGATTCCGTTCTACCGCTATTATATTTTTCATTTTTCACTGGAACACATCTGAGCAGAGTTGAAGGACTTTCTAGTTGAATATTATCCGTCGTGCTTATTTGATCAAGATGGATGAACAACTCCTTATAGGGAACTAGATCGGGTAATTTAACATCAGGATGTGTGCCAATTAAGCGACTAAATTCCTCTGTACCTGGTTGGCCCAATACACTTATATTTGCATGGTCCCATTTCACTGTCCCAGTCGCCTCATTTTGTGAGAGACTAACTCCATTAGGCTTTAAAATTTCATCATTGAGTGAGTTACGCTGTAATACCCATCAGGTATAGTAATGCGTTTGATAATACCACGTGTGGAAAATAGCATTATCCTATTATTATTTTTTGCAGCATTTATATTGGTCCACCGCGGGTAATACGTTACATCGCATAGAGCGAATTCAAGCTGACCATCTGAGTTATCGATAGTACGAAGCAGTTGAATAGACTGACCATTTGTTATTCCCAGGAGTGTAACATACATATCAAATATACAATGATACTATATCATAACTTAAATATGGAATCAACCATTATTTATAATATGGAGTGTTACACTTAAGTATCCTATATGTACAGGTTGGTGTTTTACATCTAATACAGAAATTTTGAGGTCTGAAATAATACCCCGCTTCAATTTTTTATATTGTAATGATGAGAAAGATTCCGTTCTACCGTTATTATATTTTTCATTTTTGACCGGAATAGATCTGAGTAGAGTTGAAGGACTTTCTTGTTGAATATTATCCGTCGTGCTTATTTGATCAAGATGGATACACAACTCTTTATAGGGAACTAAATCAGGTAATTTCTCTACATCAACTGTTTTGTTGCGTGGTAAGTCTATTGCCCATACAAATCCAAGTGTAATTGCTAAGTTCCCACCAATAAGTATACCTGTTTCTCCAGTGTATATTTTCACTTTCCCATTCGACTCATTTTGTGTGATACTAATTCCATTAGGCTTAAAAATTTCATCATTGAGTGAGCATACGCTGTAATACCCATCAGGTATAAAAATGTTTTTTTAACACCCCTGTTTTCACCTGCTATATACATATCATTATTATCTTTTGCAGCACTTATATTGGTCCACCGTGGGTAATACGTTACATCGCATAGTGCTACTTCGAGTTGTCCATCCGAGTTATCGATAGTACGAAGCAGTTCAATAGACTGACCATTTGTTATTCCCGGGAGTGTAACATACATATTAAATATACAATGATACTATATCATAACTTAAATATGAAATCGAGATACATTACTAATCAATCGATTATAGTAACTGCCTCTGGTGCTGAATTTTTCGTTAAATTCCCAGATACCTTTTAAAATTACAGGTTCACGGCAACTAGCGATAAAATGGTGCACGATTGGTTTCACAATCCGATGCAATTTTGGCAGAATCAGTTAAACCTTGCCGTATGGTGTGCCACAACGGGATGTGGTGTATCTGTTATTGCCCCAGGATATATGCT